GAGGCTCTGCAGCAGCTCGTTGATGATGCGCGCCGCGTGCTCGCAGCGCTCCGGGGGTCCCATGATGTGCGCGATCTTCTCCGGCCCCGTGCCGTCGTCTGAGGGGGAATTTGGGGAGGGGGATTCGCGGTGAGACCCCTCCTCTAATTCCTTCAAGATACCTCGGCAAGTTCTTTAAAGACCCCTCCTTGAATTCCCAAAGTTTCGCAAAATTCTCTGCTCAAATAACCCCAAAATCCCCCTCCTCAAATTGCCCCGGGCTCTGCAAGAAATCATTCAATGGTTCTGCCCCCAAAGCCCCCTCCCCAAATTCCTCAAATCCCCCTGCCCAAATCCTTAGAGCCCCCTCCCCAAATTCCCCAAACTGAAATCCCCAAATCCCCCTCCCCAAATTCCTAAAATTCCCTAAATTCCCCTTCCCAAATCCCCCTCCTCAAATTCCTCAAATCCCCCTCCCCAAATGACCCCAAATAAATGGGGAGGGGTCTCGGTCAGTAATTTGGGGAGGGGTCTCACCCTGCTTGAACTGGATGCGCACGCCGGCGTCGTTCTGGATCTTTTTGATCATTTCCCCGCTGCGCCCGATCACGACCCCGACCGAGTGACGCGGCACCGGCACCTGGCGGGAATTTGGGGAGGGGGCTCAGGGCACGGACCCCTCCCCAAAATGAAAACGGGCGGGGAAAAAAATCTGGGGGGTTTGGGGGGAAAAATTGGATTTTTTGGCTTTAAAAATTGGATTTTTTTGCATAAAAAGTGGATTTTTTGGTATTAAAAATTGGAATTTTTTACCTTTAAAAACTGGATTTTTTGCCTTTAAAATTTGGATTTTTTTGCATAAAAAGTGGATTTTTTGGTATTAAAAATTGGAATTTTTTACCTTTAAAAACTGGATTTTTTGCCTTTAAAATTTGGATTTTTTTGCTCTCTCTCTCAGTAATTTGGGGAGGGGTCTCTCTCTCTCAGTAATTTGGGGAGGGGTCTCACCCTGCTTGAACTGGATGCGCACGCCGGCGTCGTTCTGGATCTTTTTGATCATTTCCCCGCTGCGCCCGATCACGACCCCGACCGAGTGACGCGGCACCGGCACCTGGCGGGAATTTGGGGAGGGGGCTCAGGGCACGGACCCCTCCCCAAAATGAAAACGGGCGGGGAAAAAAATCTGGGGGGTTTGGGGGGAAAAATTGGATTTTTTGGCTTTAAAAATTGGATTTTTTTGCATAAAAAGTGGATTTTTTGGTATTAAAAATTGGAATTTTTTACCTTTAAAAACTGGATTTTTTGCCTTTAAAATTTGGATTTTTTTGCATAAAAAGTGGATTTTTTTGTATTAAAAACTGGAATTTTTCACCTTTAAAATTTGGATTTTTTGCCTTTAAAATTTGGATTTTTTTCCATAAAAAGTGGATTTTTTGGTATTAAAAATTGGAATTTTTCACCTTTAAAAATTGGATTTTTTGCCTTTAAAATTTGGATTTTTTGGTCCTAAAATTCAGATTTTTCATGTTGAAAAATGAGATTTTTAAATATCAAAAATTGGATTTTTTAGCTTTAAAATTGGGATTTTTTTGCTTAAAAATTGGAGTTTCTGGCCTTAAAAAATTGGATCGGGGAAAAAAATATGGGGGGTTTGGGGGGAAAAATTGGATTTTTTGGCTTTAAAAATTGGATTTTTTAGCGAAAAAATTTGATTTTTTGGGATTAAAAATTGGATTTTTTGGTATTAAAAATTGGATTTTTTGGCATTAAAAATTGGAATTTTTCACCTTTAAAAATTGGATTTTTTGATTTTAAAACTTGGATTTTTCATGTTGAAAAATGAGATTTTTTAATATCAAAAATTGGATTTTTTGGCATTAAAAATTGGAATTTTTCACCTTTAAAATTTGGATTTTTTTGCATAAAAAGTGGATTTTTTTGTATTAAAAACTGGAATTTTTCACCTTTAAAATTTGGATTTTTTGCCTTTAAAATTTGGATTTTTTTCCATAAAAAGTGGATTTTTTGGTATTAAAAATTGGAATTTTTCACCTTTAAAAATTGGATTTTTTGCCTTTAAAATTTGGATTTTTTGGTCCTAAAATTCAGATTTTTCATGTTGAAAAATGAGATTTTTAAATATCAAAAATTGGATTTTTTAGCTTTAAAATTGGGATTTTTTTGCTTAAAAATTGGAGTTTCTGGCCTTAAAAAATTGGATTTTTTTGCCATAAAACTCAGGGGTTTTGTGATGAAAAATGGGATTATTGATCTCAAAAATTGGATTTTTTTCCCTAAAATTCGGGTTTTTCATACTGAAAAAATGAATTTTTTAATATCAAAAATTGGATTTTTTGGCATTAAAATTTGGACTTTTTTGCCCTAAAACTCGATTTTTCATGTTGAAAAAATGAGAGGTTTTAATCCCAAAAATTGGATTTTTTTGACCTTAAAAATTGGAATTTTTGACCTTAAAAATTGGATTTTTTGGCATTAAAAATTGGAATTTTTTTGCGTAAAAATTGGATTTTTTTGGGGCTTAAAAATTGGATTTTTTTGCCATAAAACTCAGGGGTTTTGTGATGAAAAATGGGATTTTTTAATCTCAAAAATTGGATTTTTTTGCCCTAAAAATCAGGTTTTTCATGTTGAAAAAATAAGATTTTTTAATCTCAAAAATTGGATTTTTTAGCATTAAAAATTGGATTTTTTGGCATTAAAAATTGGATTTTTTGGCATTAAAAATTGGACTTTTTTGCCCTAAAACTCGATTTTTCATGTTGAAAAAATGAGAGGTTTTAATCCCAAAAATTGGATTTTTTTGACCTTAAAAATTGGAATTTTTGACCTTAAAAATTGGATTTTTTGGCTTTAAAAATTGGATTTTTTGGCTTTAAAATTTGGATTTTTTGGTCCTAAAATTCAGATTTTTCATGTTGAAAAATGAGATTTTTTAATATCAAAAATTGGATTTTTTGGTATTAAAAATTGGATTTTTTTGGGCTTAAAAATTGGATTTTTTTGCCATAAAACTCAGGGGTTTTGTGATGAAAAATGGAATTTTTTAATCTCAAAAATTGGATTTTTTTGCCCTAAAAATCAGGTTTTTCATGTTGAAAAAATAAGATTTTTTAATCTCAAAAATTGGATTTTTTAGCATGAAAAACTGGATTTTTTGGCATTAAAAATTGGATTTTTTGGCATTAAAAAATGGAAATTTTGGAGTGATTTCAGGGTAATTTTGGGGCGATTTTGGGCCGACTTCTGGGTGAATTTTGGGATGATTTTGGGGTAATTTTGTGATGATTTCTGGGTGATTTTTGGGCTGATTTTGGGGTAATTTTAGGATGATTTTGGGGAAATTTCAGGGTAATTTTAGGGTGATTTTGGTCTGACTTATGGGTGAATTTTGGGGGAATTTTGGGGTGATTCCAGGGTGATTTTAGGATGATTTTGGGGTGATTTCAGGGTGAATTTTGGGGTGATTTCAGGGTAATTTTGGGGTGATTCTGGGTGAACGTTGAACTGATTTTAGGGTAATTTTTGGATGATTTTAAGGTGAAAAAATAGGATTTTTGGGGCAAAAAAGGGGACTACTGTGGCAATTTTTGAGGTGATTTCTGGGTGATTTTTGGGGTGATTTCAGGGTAATTTTGGGCTGACTTCTGGGTGGATTTTGGGGTGATTTTGGGGTGGATTTTGGGGTGGATTTTGAGGTGATTTCAGGGTAATTTTGGGCTGACTTCTGGGTGGATTTTGGGGTGATTTTGGGGTGATTTCAGGGTGAATTTTGGGGTGATTTTGGGGTGATTTCAGGGTAATTTTGGGCTGACTTCTGGGTGGATTTTGGGGTGATTTTGGGGTGGATTTTGGGGTGGATTTTGAGGTGATTTCAGGGTAATTTTGGAGTGATTCTGGTGTAATTTTGGGGTGACTTTGGGCTGACTTATGGGTGAATTTTTGGCTGATTTTGGGGTGATTTCAGGGCGTATTTTATGGTGATTTCAGGGTAATTTTGGGCTGATTTTGGGGTGATTTCAGGGTAATTTTAGAATAATTTTGGGACAATTTCAGGGTAATTTTAGGGTAATTTTGGGCCGACGTCTGGGTGAATTTTGGGATGATTTTTTAGGATAATTTTGGGGTGATGTCAGGGTAATTTTAGAATAATTTTGGGCCAATTTCAGGGTAATTTTGGGCCGACTTCTGGGTGAATTTTGGGATGATTTCAGGGTAATTTTGGGGTGATTTTAAGGTGATTTTGGGCTCCCACTCACGTCGATCCCCCCGCCCAGGCGGGCGCCGTAATCCGAGCGGTCTCCGAATCCTCCCTGGTCCCGCTCCCTCAGGATGTCCAGCACCATCTCACAGGCTTGCTGGGAATTTGGGCACATTTTTGGGGTGAATTCCTCCGATTTTGGGGTTTTTTCGGGTCGTTTTGGGGGTTTTTTTGGGGGGTTCCTGACCTGCACTTTGTAGGGCTCGCCGATGATCCGCAGGGGTTTGTCCACGTTGGTGTTTTGGGAACCGTCTTGGATCAGGATCATTTTTACCCCTGCTCGTTCCTAAAGGAGAAAAAAAAAGAGATTTTAGGGGGAGATCTCAACCCAAAAACAAATGAGAGATCACAAAAATAGAGCAGGAATCACAAAAAATAAAAAAGGATCCAAAAAAACAATCCAAGGAACTTATAAATAACCCTAAACTGCCTCTAAACCTCCCCAAATCCTCCTGAAACCCCCCCAAATCTCTTCTAAACCCCCCAAATCCTCCCTAAACTTCCCCAAACCTCCTCAAACCCTCCCTAAAACTCCTCAAATCCCCACAAAACTTCCCCAAATCTCACCTAAACCTCCCCAAATCCCCCTAAACTCACTCAAATCCCCCCTAAACTCACTCAAATCCCCCCTAAACCTCCCCAAATCCCCTCTAAACCTCCTAAAACCTTCTCAAATCCCCTCTATACTTCCTTAAACCTCCTCAAATCCCCCTTAAATCTCCCTAAATCCCCTCAAATCCCTCCTAAATCTCCCCAAATCTTCCCTAAACCTCCCCAAATCCCCTCTAAACCAGACTAAACCTTCCCAAATCCCCCCTAAACCTCTTCAAATCCCATCTAAACATAGTTAAACCCTCCCTAAACCTTCTCAAATCCTCTCTAAACCTCCCCTAAATCTCCTCAAATCCCCCCAAAACCTCCCTAAATCTCCCCTAAACCTCTGGAAACTGCCCCAAATCCCGCCGAAACCACCCCAAATCCCCCCAAAACCTCCTTAAACCTCCTCAAATCCCCCCAACTCCCCCCTAAACCTCCTCAAAACCCCCCTAAACCTCCCCAGATCCCCCCTAAACCTCTGGAAACCTCCTCAAATCCCCCCGAAACCTCCCCAAACCTCCCCCGAACTGCCCCGAAACTCCCTCAAATCCCCTCCAACCCTCCCTAAACCTCCCCAAATCCCCCCCAAAAGGGATTTTGGGGGTGACCTGGAGCTGTTTGATGGTCTCCCCGCCCTTGCCGATGACCAGCCCCGCCTTGCCCGCGGGGATCATCAGCTCCTGCACCGTCCCGTTCTGCCCGTTGGCGGCGTCGGGGAAGGGTCCCGGGGGTCCCCCCCGGCCTCGGGACACGATGTCGTCCAGCAGGGCCTTGGCCTTCCTGGGGAGGGGGTTTGGGGGTCACTGAGGGGGGTTTGGGGGGGTTTAGAGGGGATTTGGGGAGGTTTATGGAGGATTAGGGAGGTTTAGGGGGGATTTGGGGAGGTTTG